GGCCTCCTCCATACCAGGCTGCAACCGCACAGACTCAGTGATCAGGTGAGATGAATTTAAGGAAGCAGATGCTGTGACTGAATACTTGGCGAGCTGCAGGCTGGACACATTTCTATTGCCAAACAGTGTTGGAGCTGTCAGCATGAAAATGGACCTGGCATTTTCTGTTGATGTTAAAAAATCTTGACTTGACTAGATTTTCTAGTGCACCAGAGTTTAAAATGACTATAATATATCCGCTGGGTGGTCAAAGTGGGTGTGGATCAATAAAAATTATTGAGCGCTTACTTCACAAGGGGCTGGGATTTCTGCCTTTCAAAACTCATTTTCAGCCAGCAGTTTCTGTAAGGGCACAAATCTTTATTCATATTGTGACAGCCTCTCTTGCTGCTGTTCATTGTGTTCTCTTGCTGCTGCTTGTGGGATTACAGATTGTTATGTTTCACAATGGATTTCTCCCTGTGAGACTGTTGAGCATCAGTACAAAGTGTTGTCTCTAGGAATAAACCAACAGATATTAAAATGGACTCAGGGATGAAAAGTCTGTCTCTTCTTGCTGTTATCACCACAAATGGGATTCATTTTTACAACAATTAATTCTGGAGCCTGACAATATGCGACTGTTGGCTGCCTCACTGGAAGCTTCTGTGTTTGAAGAGAGTCGTGTGTGTGTGCGCGCGCGCGCGCGCAGATAATCACAGTGACGACAATAGGCAGTCACAGCAACCAGTGATATTGTCTGCTGAAGGTCACTGAGCCGCTGTTTGCTAGATTGTTTATTATGTAGACGTGTGTGTGTGTGTGTGTGTGTTTGTGAAGGGGATGACAGCAGTGACACAGGATTGCAGAGACGATTGGCTGATGGCATTGGGTTTCCTAATAGAGAGCGGTCAACCCCGACTCTGTAAATGTCAGCATGGTTTTGTTTTCTGTAAACAATGTGAAACTGTGGTGTCCTCGACCTGGGGGGTGGAACCACGAGCTGCTTTAAGCCCTCTGTCTCTCTGTCCTTTTATATATTGTGTCTGTGTCTGTGTGTGTGTGTGTGTGTGTGTGTGTGGTGGATTTGATCTTGTGACGCCCGCTCTTTCTCACACACACACACACACACACACACACACACACACACACACACACACACAGAGAGAGAGAACAGCAAAATGATGACTTTGTGTTAAAGTTTGATCATTTGGTTGTAGAGCAGGTGATGTGACTTGAAATCAGTATCACAATTAACTGTTTGTGTTGGGTAAATAAAACCGTTGTATTAATGACACCTGTGTACAAGTGTGGTTGTCACGAGGCACCTTTGTTTAAATCTTCACTTTTTCTGTTGTCTTGACTAAAGAGCAACAGCCAACACGACTTAATTGATTTGTTAATTCACACCTGTGCTCTCAGCTGCTATTGTACCTCCACCTCAGAATTGATTCACCAAAGACTGATTACTGCGCACGCATTGGTGTATAAACAACATACATGGTACGATACAGTAATGACCAAGTGCAGTGAGAAAAGAGAAGCCTGGTCCGAGTCCTGCTGTCAGTGAATCTCATTTTCTAGTCTCAGTGGTTTTTTATCTTATTTTAATGGGTTTGTAATGTGTATAGTAGGTGGGTGGATGGAGGTTGGTTTGTTTTTATGTAAATGTTAAAAAATATAAGTAAAATTAGCAACAAAAAAGAACATGAAAGAAAAACTAGTTTTCAGTAGTGAACCTTTTTGTATAATGTACCACAGCATGTCTTTGCATTCGAGGTGATCCCTGTGGATGTACTTAATAAACTATAAACTGAGCTTTACTCTGCAGCCTTTGTGTCCACTCTAATGTTGAAACCACAGTGCTCATTCTTTGAATAGGGCTCCAGCTTCTCACTATACTGTCCCTCTGCTGAGCTTCTCATTTTGTCATGACCTCATTTATCATTGAGTTCTTTTCAGTCTGAATTTCTTCCTTTTGACCTTCTCTTCTTAACTGCTGGTCCCCCTGTTGTCTTTTGGTTTATCTTTTTGCCCAACCTTTCATTTTTTTCTGCTTCTCTCTGTCAGCTCATCCTCCTGTTCTCATGTTGTCTCTGTATTTTATTTAATATTTTATTTGGATAGAGACTAGCATGAACCAGTGCCACATACCACAGCATAGCCTAAGATAATTTGCAGTATCCATCCCCAGAGGGGTCTTTAAAATGCATAAAATGGAAATGAAACAACATCAAACATGATACAATACACATATTTTACCATAACAACACCAGAGCATCCATGATGACGTCAATGACTACATTAACTTTAAAGCCAACTGCTCTCGCTGTTCTGTCCCAGGTTGCTGTCAGCCGTGCTGCGGACGTCAGAGGTGGAGTCCAGGGCAACCCGAGCAAGCCTTACACAGTTGCTGAGTCCCCAGATGGGAAAGGACATTGTGTGGTTCCTCAGACGCTGGGCCAAGACCTACCTGCTGGTGGACGAGAAGCTCTATGAGCAGGTCTGAGGCTCTCTGTGTGTCTTGTGTTTCCCTAGCCCCATATTTGACCTCAGCACTCCAGGCACTGTGTGACTCGGTCAAACTGGCCTCTCAGCACAAACCTTATGGGGAAGATACTTTTTTTTTTTTTTACCTCCTGTGCAGCAGTGGTTTGCATGTTTCAAGGTATTTTTGTGATTGCATGATTGCTATCTGATTGAAATGATAACAGCTTTACCCTGGGTGAAACCGAAGCTCACATCCCGTATTCACACAGACTGTGCCCGGCCTTTCAGAAACAGACCTTCAAACGTGACCAAAGTGTCCACAAAATGAAGGTCCTCTTCGACACACTTCATTTTCTGTTCCTCTTAACGGCCAAGCACTTAGATGTCAGTGAAGGAAAGTGTAATGCAACCAGAGATGGTGCACTTCCACTGGGCATGGACACTGGAGGTTCAGCTCGTGCAGTGAACAAGTGAACAGTGCCAATGTTGGCAGTTCTGTTTCTGAACAACGATATAACAGGAGTGTATGGAGTGCCAGGGTCACACACAGGGCTAACATTCCCCCAAGCTGCCACACCTCTACATAACATTCTGCTGTCTTCTGATTGGATCTTCTGATCAGTTTCTTTTAGACTAATTATAAACACTGGGGTGACTGTGCTTTTATTGTTGTGGCCCCCAGACTGTGGAACAGTCTGCCTATTAATATTAAAGATGCAACCGACCTGTTAGTCTTTGTCTTTTCTTCTCTTTGCCCTTTGTATGCTTATGTCTTATGTATGCTGTATTGTCTGTGTTATTTTCGGAAGGTGTGAAGTACTTTGGTCACCAAGCTGTTGTTTTTAAAAGTGCTATAGAAATAAGTTTGGTTTGATTTGGTTTGATCATTGTCAGCAGGCACCATTTCTTTAACCCATCCTAGCCGTTAGCCTGATGTTTTGCTTCTGTCCATCCAATCTTTTTCCTGTCTCTCCTCAGATCAGCATCCCCCTGAGCACAGCATTTGGTGCAGACACAGAGGGGGCCCAGTGGATTGTGGGATATCTTTTGGAGAAGGTGATCAACAACCTGTCAGTGTGGAGCTCAGAGACTGAGCTAGCTAATGACACTGTGGAGCTGCTGGTGACACTGGTGGAAAAGAGGGAGAGGTGAGGACTGAGGTGCAACAGTTCGACATTTGGCAGCTATTCTGATAAGACAAAACAAAACGTCTCCTTGGGCTTTATAAAATTGTCATTGTTCAGTTTTCTGACTGAAGCAAAAGGTGATGTAGTTTAATTGATAAAATAATCAACAAATTTATCAGCAATGGCAATAATCATTAGTTGTATTTTTGTACTTTTCCCATAATGCACCAGTAACATTTAATTGTTTCTCCTTAATCTCCTGTTTGATATGAGATAGAGGACTTTATAAATGTCATTGTTTTGTTAACCTGCTTAATAATCATCTTGTTTCTACTGTTTAAAGTGTCACATTTTCATTAACTAAGAAAAACAGTTTTTAGTAAAATAAAGTGAATTAAATTATGACTTGTTCTCAGAACATTCTGAGAAGCATCTTTGCATTTAGTTAAAAAGGAAACATGCAACTCACCCAAACTTGATTCAGAGTTTTCACAGGACAACAGCGATATGCAGCTTCAGATTAGGGCTGTGTCACAGTTTTGTCAGTTGACTCTGATTTGGCTGTTAATTTTTTTTCTTTTTATATATATATACATACATACTGTACACACACCCACATATACTGTAAATAGCCTAGACTGTCAGAAACTGGCATGAAGTTTCCTGATGGTTTCGACCACATTAACAGAGGAGCTCAGTAAAGTTTTAAAATTCTATTTTTAATAAAAAGTAAAATGTGTGAAACAGGCAGATATTATTGCTTGATATTGATCAGAGGCTCCTGAATCGAATCGAATTGAAATCGCACCGTGGCATATTTTTAAGTATCGGCACATGTCAGGTTGCTGGCAGAGAGAATCAATATAGAATTGTATCATGATGAGACTGGCGATTTACACCCCTAATTAACATCAGTAATCAAATTCAAAAGAGTGACAGGAAATTTAAAAATCAATGAAAGACAGCTGCATATGATACAAGATTTAAATTGCCACCTTTTATATTGATGAAATCTAATGTGGGGCTGCCATATGGATTTGTCAGAATAATGAGACCGGGTGTACACTTGTATTTCTGTTGAAACTATGCTCTTATAGGCAGTTTGTTCTTCTGAGACATGGTTATAGCCTGGTTTACCAACACTGTAAGTCTGAGCTCCCGTTAGTTACCCACAGCGCATGTTGTTACTGTGTGTTTGATGCATGGACGGATGCTTTTCACACAAACATAAAAGAAACAGCTGTGCACTAAGACATCCATGCATCAGACAGTGTCACAGTTGAAGTGGGCATCATACCCCCCAACCACCACCTACACTCTATTGTAATGTACTCTGGATGACAAAAATAAAATATGATGAAATAAAAAGAAAGGTTTGACTAGAAGACTCGGTCAACTGACGGTTCGACCAGTCGACTTTCAGGGTGCAGCTCTACATACAATGAGATTTTTTTTTTTTAATTAGTCATTACTAAGGGCTGATACTATTGTTCTGACATCTTTTTGGGTAGGACCATTGGATACTGAGTTGCATCAAATACTACCATACCATAGAGACATCACAGACACTCTCCTCCTTTCCTCTCATTTCAGGGCCAACATCGTGGTGCAGTGTGAGAGCTGGTGGAGCCTGGCAAAGCAGTTTGCCAGCCGCAGTCCACCTCTCCACCTGCTGTCCAGCTCCGTGCAGAGATCTCTGATGAAGGCTCTTGTCCTTGGGGGCTTCGCACACATGGACTCTGACACCAAACAGCAGTACTGGGCCGAGGTAACGTATAGGTGTATGATAAAGAATAACAGCTAAAATGATAAGTTGATTAGTCAAGTATATGTGGTTGAATGTTGAATGTTGAAGTCATTTACCAAGAAAAGATACCAAACTCTTTTTTAATATGAGAATTTGGTGCTTTTCTGAATGTGCATAATATATTTGGGTTGGGAGTTTGTACATGTTTGACCTATTATTGCCAAGGTAATTACAAAAAAGTTCAGTTTATCACTAATAAAATACCCTATAACAGGACCATAATAGGTAAATAATAAACACAGTGGTTATGTAAAAACAATGTATTTCTGTTCTCTAGATTAAAATGTTTCTAATACGTTATAATATGTGCCACCAAAAATAGATTCTAAAAAATAAATTAAAACAACTGACACTGTGCGGTTAACTCTGAGCTCAGGAACAGCCACACCTACTCAGTAGCTGTGAAGCATGACAAACATAAGGCCTGTGAATGTACATGACATGTTAAATTATATAAATAGAGCCAAAGAATTACAAAAACAAAAAAATCTGGTTTTCCAGTAGCTGTTAAAAATATTATTTTGTCTTCTTTTTGAGTTTTTGTTAGTTTTACAGTCAGGTTAGCCAAACTAAAAGAAAACATCACTACAGGAAAATTATTACACCCATCACAGTACACTAACCACAACCATCGTCCCCCTTCCCAAGAAGAGCCCGGTCACCTGCCTGAACGACTACAGGCCAGTGGCACTCACCCCAATTATTGGAAAGTGTTTTGAGAGAGTGGTGCTGGCCCACATTCAGAGCAGTATACCAGACACCCTGGACCCCCTGCAGTATGCCTACCGGCCCAACAGGGCCACCTCAGACGCCATCGCAACTGCACTCCACTATTCCTTTTCTCACCTTTCAAACACTAGCACCCCACAGGGATGTGTCCTCAGTCCTATCCTCTACACCCTGTTCACCCACGACTGTGTCGCCTCCCACAAAGACAACATCATCCTGAAGTTTGTGGACAACACCGCAGTGATAGGTATCATCACTGGCAGGGACGAAGCAGCCTACAGGAGGGAGGGGGCCAGTCTGGTGGCTTGGTGCAAGGACAATAATCTCAGCCTCAACACAGACAAGACGAAGGAGATGATGGTGGACATGAGGAAGGAAAGGAGATCTCATCAGCCAGTGTTCATCCGGGGGCTCGAGGTGGAGAGGGTGAGCAGCTTCAAATACCTGGGCGTCCACATCAGTGAGGGCCTCACTTGGACACTTAACACCACACAGCTGGTCAAGAAGGTCCAACGGCGACTGTACTTCCTGAGGAGGCTGAGGAGGTTTGGCATGTCGCCTAGGATCCTCAGCAACTTCTACAGCTGCATCATTGAGAGCATCTTGACCAGCTGCATCACTGTCTGGTATGGCACCACTACTGCTATGGACCGCAAGCGCCTGCAGAGAGTGGTAAAGACTGTGGAGAAGATCACCAGGACTCCACTGCCCTCTCTGCAGAGCATTTACCACCGCAGGGTGCGTAGGAAAGCTGCCTCTATCCGCACCCAACCCCAGCATGGACTGTTCACACCTCCACCCTCTGGCCGGAGGTTCAGAAGTGTGAAATGTAGGACCTCTAGACTGAAAAACTCAGACTCCTAAACAGCTGACAGGAGTTTACAATCAGGAACTACCTCATGTAATTCCACCTGTACTGTTGCATTCTCAGTTTGCACATGCACAATTGCACAGTCATTGCTAACTGTTGCACATTCAGCTTCTGATGTAGCATACATTATCTTTTTATATTCTTATTATATTTCTTTTCACTTGCTGTTTTTAAAGTCCTTTATATTGTGTTACTATTTATCTACTTTTATATTTTACTTGTGTTGTTTGACACTGTGGACAGAAAAGGAAGAGTTTCATTGTACAGGGAAACATGTTTCCTTACTGTGCCAATGCGAAATAAACGCTTTGACTTTATCCAATTAAAGTCGATAGACGATGTTGATGTGGCTTGTTTACAGCCTGTCTCGTGTTTCTCACTCTCTTTCCTGCAGCATTAGTGCAGTCTTCACCTGGTTCACGTCTGGTGCGAAATAAAAGCACAGTAATAACTGTTAAGTTCACCAAAGTCATGAGCTTTGTCTTTTAAAAATAAGCACAAAAACTTGTTGGTCCTGTTCTGCGTTATAGAGCTCTGCACACTCCAGTCAGCTCGGGGGATTAGGATTGATGGATGCAGTTGATAATATTCCCCTGTCGAGTCTTTCTCCTGTGTGTATAATTTGATCCTTGTTATGATCCTGGAGGCCTTTGTCTTAATATGCTGCTGGCAGTAAATGGGGTTGCAAAGCCACAATGATTCCAGAGTAATTATGGAGGGTGTGTGAGTGAGACTGCAGCTGCTGCTACAGCTGCTCTGTGGATGACGTGGGTGGAGGTGGAGGAGGAAAGATGGGCCTAACAACTGATCCAACCTTTCTTTGTTGCATCTCTGCATCAATGCCTTTTCTTTACAAGCACCTAGAAATCACTTTTATCCCATTAACTCAAGCTTGAAACAAAACTAAGGTCAGATTATAAAGCAGTACGAGAGTCTTGAACTCACTGCGTGTTCATCAGAGTTAGAAGCTTTTATACAGTAGCTGCAGCTCCGCACAGGGGCTCCTTCTGATTTTAAAATATATAAAGAAGTGTTTCAATAGGTAAGCTAGAGTGTCACACAAATTGACACAAGTGAACACCAAGATATTACGTAGTCAAAGCAACAAAAGATGTTAAAATACCCTGAGAGAGAGAGAGAGAGAGAGACGCATGGTGTCTGTGTGGTATCTGTCCATCCAGGTGCTTCACCCTCTGCAGCAGCGTTTCCTCAACCTCATCAACCAGGAGAACTTTGCCCAGATCAGCCAGGAGGAAGCTGTCAAACAGGAAATTGTCGCAACGTTGGAGGCACTGTGCGGCATTGCTGAGGCAACGCAGATCGACAACGTGGCCTCACTCTTCTCTTTCCTCATCGACTTCCTGTCCAGCTGCATCGGCCTCATGGAGGTAAGACCAGAGAGGAAAAGTAGTCTGTGTTTATGTTCCCCTGTAGCTTAGAATACGGCAGCAGCTGCTGTCGATCCACTAGTGAAAGAGATGAACACACGGGTTGGAAGGCTACAGGGCACACAGGACAGTGCCGAGGAATAAGTGTGATGGTAGAGGCCTTAAAGTGTTCATCAGCTGTATATGATGTAGAATCTGATCCTCGACTTGTGTTCTCATGGCTCAGGTCTACAGCAGCACGCCTGAGACGATCAACCTCATCATTGAGGTGTTTGTGGAAGTGGCTCACAAACAGATCTGCTACCTGGGAGAGGTGAGCAACAGCAAAATGTTTTTCTGTTCTGTTCACACAACACATCAGTATATACAAGATGCAAAAACAACCATGTGCTGTTCTGCCCTTGCACAGTGGTGGTTCTCAGAGGTTTTGTCAGTAGTTTGGAGTAAATTATCTTTACTTCTCATCGGTGACAGTTTGATTTTTTTTCTGTGTGTAGGCATTGAACTAAAAATGATCTGAATTTTTTGTGGTTTAAGATAATGACTCGGTGTTAATCTGGGATTGACGGTCTAAACCTTTGCTTAACAATAAAGTCACCATTTTTTCAAGTTACTACTTTTTTTTAGTCATTTGATGCAGAGATGCATCAGCCTTCTTTTACATCATCTTTTTGGGGACAAACCGTGTTTTGTCCGTTGTGGAAGAGCTTTATCACAGGCTCCTGGAAAATAGAATGTGGAATTGTGTCACTTTTTTGTTCCGATTGTTTTGTTATGAAGCAGTGTTTCACACAGTGCAGCGGTTTGTTTCCCTGATGTGGTTTTAATCGTTTCTGAAGACAACAGAGGTCTGTGGTACAGACAAACAAGCTGATCTAGAACTGACAGTCTCTGTGTATGGGGTGTTGAAAATGCTATTAATATAGAAAATGCCCGACCGTATCCTTTAAACAGACCAGAAAAGCCTGATATGAGGCAGTTACACTCAGCAAAGGAAAGTCATAAAACAGTTGTGGTATCTGGGCTTTAGGTCCATGACTATGTGAAATGCTGAGTGGATCTACTTTCTCTCGTCTCCTTGTTCAGACCAAGTCCATGGAGCTATACGAAGCGTGTCTGACGCTGCTGCAGGTCTACTCCAAAAACAACCAAAGCAGGAAGCGAAGCGATGCCATGGCTGAGGAGGATCAGTACCAGGACCTACTTCTCATCATGGAGTTGCTCACCAACCTGCTCTCCAAAGAGTTCATTGACTTCAGCGACACCGGTGGGCTGGCTCCATGTTTTGTGCCTTTAAATCTCAATAAAGAGAGAAAACTCCACAACTGATGAGAGTAAAAGACTTTTCCTAATCTCTTCTTCGAACTTCTGTGTGTTCTAGACGAGGTGTTTCGGAACCAAGACCAGGGAACTCCAGCCTCCGGTCGGACTGTATCAGCCGCAGATGTGGTGCTCTATGGTGTCAATATCGTTCTTCCACTCATGTCTCAGGACCTACTCAAGGTAAAACAACATAGATTGGGTTCACTGAGCATTAAAAACTGTGACCGTTTGGACAATATAATCTGTTTGGATGACTGATCCTGTGCTCGTCCATTCCACAGTTCCCGTCTCTGTGTAACCAGTACTACAAGCTCATCACCTTCATCTGTGAGATCTTTCCAGAAAAGATCCCCCAGCTGCCTGAAGACCTGTTCAAGAGCCTCATGTTCTCCCTGGAGCTGGGAATGACCTCGTATCCTTCTACTGTCTGTGCTGAGTGTGCAGATTCAGCTTTAACACAAACTCCGGGCTCCAAACCGATAGCATCCAGTGCGCACCCCGATTTTCATCGTCTCTGATCATCATCTGATCTTTGTTAAGAGAAAGGGTTTGGTAGAACAACACACCCATATTCCCCACAGTAAGCTACTGAAAAGTTCTTGGATCCGTACTGCACTTGTATCAAGAAGGAAGTTGACTCTATACCCAGCCCTTTCAGACCCTCTTCCTAAGGCACAAGTCAGTCAACATTGACAGAAATCTCACATTACGTTTAGGCTGGTTTGAGACAAGATGAGTCTTTTGCAAATACTCCCAGCTGGACAGATTGGAGGTATATAGCACCAAAAACTGTCATCTAAGATGAAATGTCTAAATTGAGGACAAGCTGCTATAAGCTCTGTTTTATGTACAAAGCTCCTTCCGGCTCTTTTAAACCAGGAACTCACAAAAAGACGAAGTAGACCACTGTAGATTTTATCAAAAATAACCGTACTGGTTTATTCAGAGGATCACAGGTAAAATTAACATTACACGTCCAGATCTCTTCCACCACCAACCTGCGCGCAGGCAGCTTGGCAAGATGAAAGACCCTGGACCAACAAACCTATACAATATTAATCATTTTGGGCTAGCCCCATACTACGCAGGCACGTCAAACCGTGACGTCACCTGATATGCCAGCTTGCAGCTGAACATAACGTTAGTCAAAACATGAGGAAAGTTCAAGGTGTGTGGCTGTTGATTAGTGGTGTGTATCTAAGAACAATTTGACATGACATTACACATTAAGACAAATATTAAGATTAGCATTACAGTTAATACTAACAACTCTTCTTGCCTGCAGCCTTGGCCTCAATGCAGTCTGCAAGCACATGAAATTGAACTGAGCATTTAACAGCCTGAGCTAGACATCCTGTCTCCACTAAACATTTCTAGACAACAAATCTCTGAATATCTATCTAACTAAGAAACAACCTAACACTGCCTTCACTGTGAAGGACTTCTGGTTTCCTCTCAGTGCAGGGCTGTAAGCCAGCAGAGAAGAGAATCACATCCTGATGTTAATTTGCAATTTGCTCCTTAATGCCTGTTTCTAGGATGAGCTCAGAGATCAGCCAGCTGTGTTTGGAGGCTCTGTCTCCTCTGGCTGAACAGTGCGCTAAAAACCAGGAGAAGGACACGCCTCTCTTCATCGCCACCCGTCACTTCCTCAAGGTATTCCTCATTTTACTGTGATAAAACATCTGAATGTCACGCTAAATGTTGCAGAAACAATATATACAGAGTGTCCGTTTTACACTGCTGTTCAAATCACAAAAAGCACATGAGATGTGTTGGACTGTTACCTTTGTACACAGACAGGCTGCTTCCCTGTTTCGGGTCTCTGTGCTAAGCTGAGCTATGTTTGATGGTTGTAATGGTGGTGCTCTCTAATGGCTGGAAATAAGCCTGTTTACCTAAACTGTTTTTAAGAGATGGATTAAAAGGCTGGAAAGGAACCAGAGAGGCAGTGAGCGAAACATCAAGAGTTGTGTTAATGCTGTGTTTGGCTGAACAGTGTGTGTGCACTTTCTGCTTTAATATTGTTTCTGTCTTCACACCTTGGTCTTCGTCCTCTGTGTCTACAGCTGGTGTTTGACATGCTGGTCCTACAAAAACACAACACAGAGATGACAGTGGCAGCAGGAGAAGCTCTTTACACCCTCGTGTGCCTGCACCAGGTAAGTAACTAATGTATACGTGTCGCTGTAGCGCCAGGATTCTGCTATGAGTCAATCTGTTAATACTAACAACAAAACATGACGTCAGTGCTAATTAAAAAATAACAATCATATGACTAAGACTTTCTGCTTGTAGAAAGATGTATAGAGCTAAAAGTGATGATGGAAGTGGTTCTGAAGGTGTCCAGTCTGAGTTTCTGTGCAGCTTTATGAAATGAGCAGAGGCCGTTGATCAAGTGGTCTTCAGGTCAAATATAGAATGACCTCAGGCTGACACCCACAGTCTTACTCAGCCGCAGAAACGTTTTATGCCGGTTGTTGTTTAACTGTCTGTGTGGAAGCTCGGGGCCTCTGTCTGCCGCTGTCCACCTCAGTAACTCCAGTGATGACACATTTCCTAGCAGTAAAGATGCTCTTCTATGTGTAGTTTGTTAGATCAGCCCAGTATACCGTAACATGACATGGTCACTGGAGAATCAGAACCCTTCACTTTTTGTACACTTTGTGTTGCAGATTTTACTCTGAATGAATGAAGTTTCCATTTTTTCCAATCTATCCACACTCAGGGACTCGTAACGGCAAAGTGAAAACGTGGTTTTAGACATTTTGCTAATTTATGAAGTGTTTTACCAGAGAACGGTGTCTTCAGTTTATTTGGTCAGTTTGAAATATTCCAGGGAGAAACTGTAGAGACAGAAGCAGCCACAGTGCAGCTACAGGCGACAGCCTTGCAACACTCCTCAAGCACGTCGCCAAGGCGAGCAGCTCGCTGTTTAGTGCAGCAGTGTACCATTGACCAGGACGACTCAGTGTGACTGCACCTGTTAAAACAGTGGCACAGTTGCATAGTTTGGCTGCCATTTATACACAGTCAGAATTTAAAATCAATTGAAAGAATCTGTTTAAATTCTGTAGGCTAATGTGTCATCAATTTTTAAACTGCCAAATATTGATATCAGTATCAGCCTCCGAAGTGCAGTGTAGGTTAGGTTACCATGTACTGAGCTGGATATTTTACAGCACAAAAAGAAGCTTGACTTCTCAGACGTGTCACTTGTCAGTCGCCCACTGAATCAGTCCATCTCCAGCTGCACACTTTGCTTTATTTGAATACGGTGTGATGGTCTGTTGCTCCCCTCTGTCAGGCAGAGTACTCGGAGCTGGTGGAGACTCTGCTCTCCTCTCAGAGAGACCCCGTCACCTATCAGCGTCTAGCCGATGCCTTCAACAAGCTGACGGCCAGCAGTACGCCGCCCACCATGGACCGAAAACAGAAGGTCGCCTTCCTCAAGAGCCTGGAGGAGTTTGTGGCCAATGTGGGCGGCCTGCTCTGCATGAAATAACCACTGGAAAGTGACTCCGCCTTGCAAAGCAAACAGGCAAAGACCTCTACCTGCCCCGCTTAAGAATGATGGGTCAGAGAGACAGCTCAAAGCCTCAGAGGACCTCTCTATCTCTCCACCTGCTGCGGGGAAACCGGCTCATGCCTAAATGTTTTCACCTCCTTGGATTTCTTTTTTGTTTTTCTCCCCAACTGTTACAACCCCCACCCCGCCCCGCCAATTTGGCGTGATTGATTGATTTGATGAAGATGGAAACGAGGTAGCCATGGAGACTGGATTGCAGTGCACACAGACTCAGTCGGAGGATCCCGTCAGACTGACGTGACTGAACACTGACCCTCATGATGACAAGAGGTGGAGCAGCAGCTGATGTGGATTGGGACGCCCTCCCCCACCCCATGTGCCTGGAGGCTGCTGGAGCTCTTGCAACGTGCATCGAGGGTAACACTTGTCATTGAACAGTGAAGGAGTTGGTTGTTTTTCCAGTGAAAGTATTAGAGGGGCCATTTTGTTGCAAGAATGCCACAGTGACCACCTCTCCATTAATGCACACACACAGGTTCCACTCTGATAGACACACACACACGCACACACACATTGCCCCGATCCTCCCCAGAGTGCCTTTGTTTTGTTGATTGTTCTGTGTGTGCATGCATGTCATGCATCAGCTGATGACAAACTGTGCCTGCCATTCACCAAAAACACAGTGGATGCACATGCGCGCACACACACACACACACACACACACACACACACACACACACACACATATGTGTATATGTGAAACGTTGTCATGACAACACTGGTATGGACATCCTGGCTGTCTCTGGGCTTTCTGACCCACACAGCACAGGAGGGCATTTGGTTGTTGGCAATGAGAGAAAACCAAAATCCTAGTTTCACTAAAAGGTGTATATATAAAGTAAATATGTGTATATGTAATGTTTTCAAACCAGACACCAGGAGAAATGTACAAAGACTAAAAAAAACAAACAAAGGCTGCAATGTTTTTATGTGCCAGTAGATGGCAGGAAGAGGTCTGAGTTCAACAGTGTGAATTCAGGAAGCAGCTTCCTCTGTGTTGACCCTTCCTGCAGTTTGATATGTCTTCTCAGTTTGGATTGTAGTGTTCTGTCACAACCCCCTGCCTCCTGACAGATCGGGCCTCTAAAGTTTAGTAGATTAAATTGAGTATTTTTTTACAGCAGCACATCCACTGTATCGCTCTTCACCACACACTGGATTGAAGCAGAGACTGCTGAAGGACAGCAATTACAAACCAAATACAAAGGAGCAGAGCCACCTGCTGAAGCACTCTGTTGGAGTTCAGAGCATTATCCTGGTTAGAATGGCTGTTTTGTTAATGACATGTAAAAGTGTACATAAACTTATTGTATAACATGTTTGAGCGTCTCTCGTCTTCTTTACTTGTCTCTGATGTCTTTTATCTTCTGTAGTAATAAATGAAGTGAATGGTTTTACTTTGGATCACAGAATTAGTTCAGCAGCTATTCACTGAGATATAATTACTGTGGATTTTAGAAGTGAAACATTTATCTGGACTGAAGAACTGAGTCGCTGCTCAAAGGAACAATCACTTCTGTCTGCTGAGTACTGGCAGCATGTGTGGAGGTATTTCCATTGCCCCAGGTCTGATCAGGTATTTAATGATAGTGACACTGTTTTCTGCACAGCACACTGAACCAGGGTGATTTGTAAAAGCCCAGTACTGAGCCAAAATTATTTTAATTCACTTGCTAGACAGAAGGCAACAGTAGCCAGGTGGCCTGTCCTGCAGTTTAATGTGTCAGAGGTTGGTATATGCACTTTACCAATTTAAAGGATAAGACCGGTCGTTTTCTTTCGTTAACAGTATTTTAGCACTCCCCATACAGAGACTACAACCAACAATGATTTGCCTCTACTCACAATTGTCTGTTAGTCGTGGATTAGTTTATTCGTCAAGATGACTTATTGCTTCAGTATTTTATTTCATGTTGTAAATTTAGTTCAGAGAGATGTAAGTTGGTTTTCAAAACCAATTAGAAACACATCAGTGAAACAACACAACGATATATTTCATTATAAAAAAACAAAACCCTGGTACTTGTTTGGAATATGCAGCTCATTCTCATTCATGGGCCCTTGGCTCCTAATTCAGATCCTGTAAAAAGTTACAGCCCTTTGGAGCCTTTATTATCAAAATATCAGGGTCTGGTGTTTTGTAATGGGGAAACGTCGCCCAGTGCAGCGTTGTGTTTCTCTGATGTGTATTTAATTGTTTTTGAGCAACAATGGAGGTCTGTGGTCCAGGGAAATAAAATCCAGTAGTGACAGACATTGGTCTCTGTGTGGGGACTGTTGCATATATCCTTTAACACTCAGATGTTAGTCGCACTCAATTAACTCTGATTAAAGAAAAAACTAATCTGGATATGTGGCTGTGAAATATTTAAAATTTAACAGGTAAAACATATTTGTCCACAAATTTAAGACTGAAATTAGATAAAATATTTAACCATCAACATCTGTTGATAAAATTAACTTGAGAACCAGGTTTCACTTGATTTGCCTCTGATGTTTGAGTACCTGAAAACTTGATGCTACTATATTGTACCTCAGCCAAAACCCTGCAAAAGAATTAGTTTAAATCTCACTCCTTCATTGTTTGTATCCAATTTAAACTAAATTCAAAGAGGTTTTCCTACAGATGAAATATAAGCATGTATTGGTCCACTGCTGAGTTTTGTTTTGCCGTTTGTTTGCTAAATAAACATTTAAACACATAAACCAGTTATAAATTACAGGTAGTTAAGTGTCAGACAAAGGATTTATAGCGGGTACCATATTTTGCCTTTTGGTTTGTGGAGTTAAAGTTGGATCTCCACTTATTGACTATTAAAATCTGTTAAAGACCAGGAATGCTAAACCTTGTAAATGGACTGCACAATAAGTCTTCCTGAGTTAAATATAAAGTAGAAAGGACACAAAGTAGAGAAAAAAATTGTCAGATTTTAATTTTCTTAAAAAACAGATTAAATTCTGTCTTTTTTTTAAATGTTATACTCAATTGCGTATGACATTAAATTAAGAATGCTTCCATTTGATCAGTTCAAGTATTATGAAAATTGTACATTGAAATTAGTCTTATGAAAAGAAAACATTGAAAAAGGAGAGTGACACTAAAAATACAATAGCCTAAATACATACAGTAAATACAATAAGATAAAACAGACCAACTACAAAGGTTTTTAATAATAGTTATGTATACTTGATATATTTTAGTTTATTTTATAAAGTGTTTTTTCAAATATGAATAAAACAACCTATTGGTTTATTAATGGTTTTATGAAATATTGATTTTGTGAATGAAAGATTTTTCATTTAGAATCCTCAAATTGAAGAGCTGTACTTACATCATGGAAAATGATTTAGTTTTAATTATTTGTTTTAAAGGAGACTGAAGAGAAAATGGTTTTTGCCTGCCTTTGATACTTATATCACCCTCCAGTCCAGTAGGGGGCAGCAATGCTATTAAGTTGGCTACCAACCGCACATAAAATCTACGAAAGAAGAAGAAGAACCACCGACTCCACGTCACAATCCCGCGACTTTTCACATGTTCACTGGACGACGGCAACTGAGGTAAGTTCAGTTTTGTGCTCGGTTTGTTTGTATATTTGTGCCAGTGTTGATCAGCGAAAACTTTTTAATTGTGAGGTCACTTGAGTGAAATGAGGTCACTTGTGGTGAATGTGTCTATGATGTTAGATGCCCTGTTTGTCTGTGTATGACGATCTGCTTGGTTTGTCGCTGCTATTCATCTATTCATCAGGCTTTTTCCTGCACAGTTTTCACCCAGTTCTTTATTGCAAAGTCAAGTTATATACATACAACAAGGCAACAAAGTGTACTGTAGCCTAAAATCATAAATCCTGAGGCAAGGCAACATTACTTATATAGCACTTTTCATACACGGGGGCAGTTTAAGGTGCTTTACAGAAGTTAGGAAAACATTAACAACATTACAAAAATAAGCATTAAAGCCCGAATAAAATCCGTTGTGGAGATAAAACATCGGTAAAATGAGAGCACATTAAATAAAGGAATAAATAAACACAAAAAGAAATTAATTTAAACAAAGTAAGGAATATGAAACAGTTGAGTAAAGGTTCAATCTTTTCATCGAGTGTGACACCAATCATCTTGTTACATGTAAATTAATTCAACTCTTGGAATTTTGGATTTAGCCAGTCTGGTAAGTCTTCTAGGTTTGAAGTATAAGCAGAAGAAGAACAAGTGGTCTGTTGTTTCAGTGTCATTGTTACAGAAAGTGCAACTATTATTATTAAATTATATAAGAAGCTATTGCAGTGTCAATGGCATAGCATATAACTATCTTTAGAAGGAAATAGGTCATGGACATATTTTGTGTTAATTATTATAACTGTGTATTTGTCAAATTTTTGAATATTTATTGGATAGGCCAGGGTCTAATTCTGAAGTTAAACATTGTCAGACGCATTTATTTGGAGGCTTGCTCCCCTTAAAATGAATTCCACTGATCTGGAGAGAAGGGGAGAGTTAGAAAAAAGAATCCTGATCAGCAACATGCAGCTGCAGCAGCTTTTATAACTGTATCAAATGCCTTTTTATTAAGTTCAGTATTATATTTTAACCAAAAGGTTTTCAAAAGAGAGCACATTTCCTGTGTTGTGTTGTCTTGTCTTGTCTAGATACAAAACTGACCAGATGTTCCAGCTTTCATAGTACAGATACTTGTTTCTGTGGGTAATACATCTCTTATTCTCTTGTAAAAGGACCTGCTGATGGAAAAAGTGAATGTTTGGATGGGAGTCTTGAAATTCATGCGCTACCTAGTGATACAGTGCCTTGCGAAAGTATTCGGCCCCCTTGAACTTTGCGACCTTTTGCCACATTTCAGGCTTCAAACATAAAGATATAAAACTGTAATTTTTTGTGAAGAATCAACAACAAGTGGGACACAATCATGAAGTGGAACGAAATTTATTGGATATTTCAAACGTTTTTAACAAATAAAAAACTGAAAAACTGGGCGTGCAAAATTATTCAGCCCCCTTAAGTTAATACTTTGTAGCGCCACCTTTTGCTGCGATTACAGCTGTAAGTCGCTTGGGGTATGTCTCTATCAGTTTTGCACATCAAGAGACTGAAATTTTTGCCCATTCCTCCTGCAAAACAGCTCGAGCTCAGTGAGATTGGATGGAGAGCGTTTGTGAACAGCAGTTTTCAGTTCTTTCCACAGATTCTCGATTGGATTCAGGTGGGGGGGGGGGGGGGGTCTCTTTCTCATGCAGAAAGCTATTTACAGGGAAATGCGATGGATTAGCTGAAGCTCATCAATAGGGAGCGCCTGCTCACCCGGTGCTTTACAGACTGGCCACCAATCGAAGGGAATTTCAATATTTACCTACATCCTCGTTTTGTTAGTTGCAGTTAAGCAAACACGCAATTCGCTAATTCATGTTAGTGGATGAGTGAGACTTGTTTAAGTATTTTCCTTCCACGCTAATGATGATTCATTTGAATGACTTTAGGTGTGAATTTTGACTCACGGGCCATTGAATACAGATAAACAACAGGGTGGTTCGTTTTAACATCTATCCATGAGCCAATTTAACGATCATATTACAATTACATTAACTGGGCAGATAGTTTTGTTCTGACCTATTGTACATATGTTATTTGTCTGTCACACACACACACTCCTGCAAACAGAAGTATATAAAATGTATTCACACACTGTTGGAGTGAGATGAAATACACAAGGATTAAAGGCACCCAACACCACAAAGTCACATCACAAAATGCCAAAACAGTCAAAAGTGCATTCATCAGTCTACATGAATTAAATCGATCGTTTCATGTATTTGTTTTATACAGTGTGGCTCCGATGGCATTAGTACCCCTGCAGAGGCAGATCATGAGGAATTGTTTAGTGTTAGGCTGTACCGGAGATCTTTGAGTTCTGAAAATCATTTTCGAGCTGAGGTTAACAATTGTTTAGGTCCTTTTGATGAAGGAAAGCAAAGCAACAAATTACTGAAAAAGTCTAGTTTGTGTTGGCCGCTACAAAGTATTAACTTAAGGGGGCTGAATAATTTTGCACGGCCAATTTTTCAGTTTTTTATTTGTTAAAAACGTTTGAAATATCCAATAAATTTCGTTCCACTTCATGATTGTGTCCCACTTGTTGTTGATTCTTCACAAAAAATTACAGTTTTATATCTTTATGTTTGAAGCCTGAAATGTGGCAAAAGGTCGCAAAGTTCAAGGGGGCCGAATACTTTCGCAAGGCACTGTATGTAAAGTTATTAAAATGAGCTCCGCCTTGTTGCAGCACCTGCACATTTAAAGTGAT